GAGAATGAGAGAGAGAGAGAGAGAGAGAGAGAGAGAGAGAGAGAGAGAGAGAGAACGAGAGTGAGAGTGAGAGAGTGCAAGAGTATGCTGTGTCTGAGTGAGAGAGAAAAATAGCATGTCCGCACACTACCGCAGTCTCGTTAGCGAGAACGGCATACTGGCCCCCCGATCGTCATTTCCCCTCCCCGCCAGCCCCGCATTCATCGGAGAAGCAGGAAGAGAAAAAAGAGAAGAAAAAAGAAAAAAGAAAAATGCAACATTCCAAAACCATATTCACGCTCCACAGAGAGAATTCCGAGGATCCCGCAGCACTGCCATGTTCCGTATGTGCGCGAGAGCGCTGATAGTAATTAGAGACGAGGTAAAGGGAGAACGCGCCGACGAATTCGTCGGGACACGCGCGCGGCAAATAATTAAACCGGAACTCGGTGCATTTAATTGAAGGAACCGATCTGTGTCTCTCTCTCTCTCTCTCTCTCTCTCTCTCTCTCTCTCTCTCTCTCTCTCCCCCCCCCCTCCCTCCCCTCTCCTCCCCTCTCTATCTATCTCTCTTTTTAGCAACCCTTGTCCCTTATACTCCCTGGAAGCCGGTCGCGGAAACGCGTTTTCCTTTCTGTTGACAGTCCGACACATAGAAGTAATAGAAGAAATCGTTGGTCTCACGCATCACGAATTTTACAATTCGCGCGCGAGTCTTATTTGCACCGACAAGTAAACACAACTTCCCACTCGGTGGACAGATACTTCGAACGTTGAACCAGAGTGTCGTTTCTGCAGCAAGCCGCGTTCTCGAGCTACCCCAGTCGCTCTTCTCGTAACAATCGCAGCAGTAATCGTTTCGTAATCGCACCCACTACTAACACTTGCATTTAAAGCATCGCTTCCAAGTCGTGCTTTCCTTTAATCTCGAACAGCACGATCACGGAGAAAATTTACATACCGGACACGAGCTTTCGTATATATGCTCCCGGAGAAGATCGGTTCTCAAGCGGTATCATTTCTTAAGCAGAGAAGTAGTTAATTCACAAAACTGAGGAATTCGGCTGTCATCATTGTGATTTCTTAACGGAAGAATGTAGAGAGAGAGGATATATATATAAAGGAACTCTCGACAAGTTTACTCAACAAGGGAATTCGAGAATGCGAACCGTCGCGACAAGAACGGAACATGGCAACTTCGGGGTGCGAAACGAAGGTGCCAAAAGGAGTAGCAGTGTTCCTCGCCATCATTGTTAAAAAACATCATCGCACATATAACCATTCGTTGCCATGACAATAAAGGGGATTTTATGGTCTGTAAAATATTGTACAATATTAGGACAAATGGAGGGGAGGATCTTGAGAGCGTATGTGTGCATATATGCTTGAATACGTTGTGCAGTGTGGCGAGCTTGACGTAACGAATTTATTTAGGGTAAGCAGCGAGCGGTCGCATCCCAAGTAACACGTGTCGTTTAAGAAACATTTTCGAAACGTTTTATAAACGTTTATGAAACATTACACACATTTAGAAAATGTGTATGAAATATCACAACATGTGCTACTAGGGACGCTAACTCGAGCGGATCGCCATGCGAAGTGTCACAGCGAGCGAGCGAGCGAGCGAGCGAGAGAGAGAGAGAGAGAGAGAGAGAGAGAGAGAGAGAGAGAGAGAGAGAGAGAGAGAGAGAGCGCCGTTTGATGTCGCAATCATATAATTATTTCAGTAATTGTTTCGAGTCGTTAATCTTGATTCTGCCCATGATTTATCGCAACTGTCAGGCTGTGCGAATCTGGTAGCGTGTCATGTGTAATGATGTATGTCTGCGACATATGTACGCATGTGTGAGTGAAAGTGTGTGTGTATGTGTATGTATGTATGTTGCATATGCCTGTGTGTGCGTAATAAGCCTTTGTAATTTGTACGAAAGCAAGCCAGAACGAAGTAACGCGGCCAAGTAAAGTGTAATAAAGCACGTAAACCGATCGCGTATATTATACATATATAAATATATACATATACAG